GCCAATCAAATTCCCAGAGTAATCAACCAATTCTAATCATAAACTAATTGTAATTTCTCTCTATCTCTTAATCAAACCTCTGCCATCCAAATGACCTATGTTCGAATTTAGATAGACTACAGAAATCCTATTCAAAGATACCAATTAAATTGAATTTCTCTTTTCTATTCCTTCCAAATCTTTACCGTTCAGACGGTCTATTATTTGAACTCAAATAGACTATAGAAATCTTATTGCAAGTTATTAATCAAAAACTATTGAATCAAATTTCTCTTTTCTATTCTTTCCAAACCTTACTGTTCGAACTTAATAGACTATAGAAATCTTACTCAAAGATTAATAAATTAAATCTCTCTTCTATTCTTTCCAAACCTTATTGTTTGAACTTAATAGACTATAGAAATCTTCTTCAAAGATATTCATTGAATTAAATATTATTAAATGTTGGCTGATTATGATTTTATATTTCAATTGTCTCTTGAAACTATGATCTGGCGATTTAATAATCAATTTGTACTTACAAACATTCTCATTGGTGTAGATGACATCTTCTCAGTAATCAGTGTTTGCGTTCCTCAACGTATATTTTTATATTATAACAAATTCCAGTAGATATCAAACGCGGCGACTTGTAGTATGCAAGTTGCAGAAGACCGAAAAATCGTTTAGCGTCCAAATGCTTTCTCGTATGCTGGGTGCCGGGCCGGTAGACGATCAAAACTGTTACAACAAAGCAGGTACGAAGAGCATTTTATACTAAACGCTCAAAGACCGGTATTTTAAAAGATTCCACCTAGGAATGCATGATATTGCATTTCTAATAGATATTTGAAAGAAATTCCTGCCAGGATTGCACAAGGTTACATATTTTAGAGGAATTTTAAAGGTTTTTAGGGTCCCAGTGAATGCCGGGTAAGCACATTCCTACCAGGAATCAAGGCTTCAAGGCAACATATGGATCCCCTCATTGCCCTGCTGCAACGGAGAAACGGGGAATCCCCGAAATTCCTGTGAGGTATTTTTCTAAATTCCACTACAATTTCTGCAACCGAAGGCATTCTCAAGGCTTAAACACTGATTCACAAGATATAATTTATGAGGAACTTTACACCACAGAGCCAGGAACCCACTATCACTATCAGCTGATTACCGGAGTGAAGTTTCATGATCAAGGTCTGCATTCACTAAAGCCAGGCAAAACAACAACAAAACAATTCACTACCCAGAAAAGTCCCCATTAACTCCCAATGCACTTAGATTATTCCACAAAATACAACAAACAATTTATACTTTCCAAAACCACAGACCATTAAGGGATTTTTAAACCATACTACATTTTCCCTATTTTGCCCTTTATGCTTTAATAGGTAGAGTGGGTCTCTACAACTGCCCCCCCCCCCCTTAAAGAAAAAATGCGTTTGCCCTCAAACGCCAGAGCTTCAAGACAATAACTATGCGTTCTGCTTACTACTATTTACATTATATTACATAGTTCGCAAAAAATTGTACAAGTCCGAAAAAAAGGTATGAAAATTAACATTAAAAAAGGTTAAAAATTTTCTCTAGCCTAAAAAAGTTATACTTAAAATTAATCGTTGTCAAAAGTTAAATTTTGTTAGCCTAAAATTAAAATCAATCTCAAGAGTCCATAAGTAAAAGTTAGCCTACAATTTCAAATATAAAATACTTCAAAAGTCCAATGATAATTTTAATGGTTGTTTTTTTTGTTGTTTTTTTAAATTTTAGAGTCCAAAAGGGTATAGTTATCAAAGTTCAAAGGAAAAGCCTAGGGGCTCTGGAGACCCGATGGACCAGGCCTTGTCCTGACCTGATCCATCCCCTTGATCGGCTTCCTTGCTGTTCAGACATTCCTGCACCCAATTCAATAGGTCGGAGTCCAACCCAGACCACAGGGGATCCTTCTCACTGGAGTCCCCTGACCGGCTAGTTGATGTAGTTGCAGAGGTTGAGGGTCCAGTAGCAGTTGAAGAGGTTGAGGGTCCAGTAGCAGTTGTAGAGGTTGAGGGTCCAGTTGCAGTTGTAGAGGTTGAGGGTCCAGTTGCAGTTGTAGAGGTTGAGGGTCCAGTTGCAGTTGTTGAGATAGTAATGGCACGCAGCACCCTCTTGGGCATTTTACTCGGTGGCTCCGCCTCTCTGTTGGGGGATAACGCATGCTGCCTTAAGCGATGCAGGCGGAGTTGCTCTATCTCATTTGGGCAGAAGCGGGCTTCACAACCCCACACTCCACAAGACTCTGTGGCTCGGTGGGCACATGCTATATGCACCTGTAGCTCCTCTTGAGTCACAAAGGCTCTCCAACAGAAGAATGCCCTATCCCTATTCCATCCGGCTGGAGGTGGGATCTGTTCTTTGCAGTCCTGGAAGAAAACAAAGACATTTACTGGCGTCCTTGCCCTTCTCTCCACTCCTGGGCAAACTTTTTACCCCTGAGCGGCTCTAAAGGCACTATACAATGGTGGTTAATATGATCAATAATAATTATAAATATATATCTAAATCATTCCGCCTGACTCTCCTCCAAAGTGGCCCTAATAAGTCTCATACTCGTCTAGCCACCCTGGTTTCCTGCGTTCCCTTCCCCTTTTTCCCGTAACCTGGACAGGTTCAACAACATCTGGCCCCGGAATTTCGACATTTCCAGTTGTTTCAAGTTCATTAGCAGATTTTTCTTTGACTTTTTGAACATACTTTTTTAGTCGGTCGTGGTGAATGACTCTCTTATCCTTTTCATTAATTTTGATGAGGTAACGGAGATCGTCTTACTTTTCCATCACCCGATACGGACCATGCCATTTAAGCGCGAATTTTGATGTTTGACCCACTTTCACAGCCGGAATATGAACCCAAACTAGCGAATCTTTCTTGTACGCTTTCAGATTGGTTTTTAGATCATAACCCCTCTTTTGCCTATCACTTGCCAATTGAATATTATTTCGGGCTGCCTCATGAATATTGAGCATCATGTCTTGCAATTGCTGACAATACTTGGTGTAATAATCATCATCCAACTTCCCTTGCTCAATCTCAGGAGGAGGCCCGAGTAAAAGATCAACAGAGGTCCTTACCTCTCTCCCGAACATCAAAAAATTGGGGCTATAACCGGTCGACGCATGGACTGTTATATGCTGTCACCACGAAAGGCAAACATTCATCCCAGTCCCGTTGGTCAGTAGCTACAATTTTGGATAACATTGCCTCAACAGTGCGGTTCGACCTCTCTACCATACCGTCAGATTGGGGATGATAAGGTGTTGTCCTGGTCTTGCTCATCTTAAACATCTCACACAGTTCTTTAAATAATTTTGATTCGAATTGTCGACCTTGATCAGAGTGGATTTGCAAAGGAGACCCATACAAACAAATGAAATGTTTCAAAAAAGCCCAAGCCACAGTGCTAGCTTCTTGATTTGGAACAGGACCCAAGGCCAATATCTTGGTAAAATAATCTTCAATGGAAACCACATATCTATTCCCCAACAAGCTTTCTGGTAATGGCCCCAGAATATCGATTGCCACCCTCTCTAAAGGAGCACCCACATTGTATTGCTTCATTGCAACGGAGAAACGGGGAATCCCCGAAATTCCTGTGAGGTATTTTTCTAAATTCCACTACAATTTCTGCAACCGAAGGCATTCTCAAGGCTTAAACACTGATTCACAAGATATAATTTATGAGGAACTTTACACCACAGAGCCAGGAACCCACTATCACTATCAGCTGATTACCGGAGTGAAGTTTCATGATCAAGGTCTGCATTCACTAAAGCCAGGCAAAACAACAACAAAACAATTCACTACCCAGAAAAGTCCCCATTAACTCCCAATGCACTTAGATTATTCCACAAAATACAACAAACAATTTATACTTTCCAAAGCCACAGACCATTAAGGGATTTTAAAACCATACTGCATTTTCCCTATTTTGCCCTTTATGCTTTAATAGGTAGAGTGGGTCTCTACAATAGCATTGTCACGGTTACTAGTATATCAGGCTATCACAATAACACTACCATGGTCATGGCAGGATCCTTGCGAAACTTAATAACACTTAATAACATGGTGACGGTTGTGCCAGGCATAAGTCTTGCAATGCAACAGATAGGGTCTCAGGCATCATTGGTTATCTCTTGAAAAATTTGTGCTTGTGATTGATCACATGATCATATCATATCATTGTATTTGATTGGTCATTGTATAGACTGACATAAACGGCAATCGCGTGCAAAGACCGAACTGAATGTGTTCGCTGTTTTTCGCCGTAGGCATTTTACAAAAAATGATTTTTAAAAATATCAAAAAAATGCGTGATTTGCGTGATATTTGATCATACACACTAAATTGATGTGTGATTTCTATTTTTCCAGCAAATGCGTGACAATCAAGCCTAATGCGTGAGGGTTGACAGGGCTGTATAAGACTCTTGTTATATACATTGTACAGTTGGGGACAAAAATAAATGACAGGTCGATTTTCGATCACCATTTCGTCTGAAAGTCCATAATTTCCAATATTGTCTAGATACATATCCCTTAAAATTTGTATATTTCACATTTTGTATAATCTCATCCACTAATGTATGGCCTCTTGAAAATTCTCTTATTTTTAACATGGGAAATTCTCACTTCAGCAAATCCACCTGTCATTTATTTATGTCCCGAACTGTACAGTAGCTGTGCAAGTTCAAGTCACCTAGATGAGCTAATTAAGGCGAGAATCGGGAAATAAAACAGGTAACTTTTTTTTTTTTTACAATCCTGGCAAAATATAATGTCCAAGCAAGTTTCGAAAGAAACGTAGACTCAAATCTGTGACTTTGGACACTTGGTACAATTGTATGATATCACTACGCATATGTACAAATAGCCCTACTTACTGTACTATATTACCACTTGTACTTTACACTTATGCTTGTTTGACTGGCCTGGTTGAGAGCATAGTCTAAAGTCCAGTTTCAAAGTTGCAAAACTTTTTTGGAGTAATCGAGTCTACTTTGTATACTCTCATTGCTATCTTTGGAAGGAGAGTCCACGGATAATGGGAATCCCTCCATATACATTCTGTTATATCTATATTTAGCGATGTCGGTTTACTGTGATTATGTTGTTCTTTGCTCTTTGTCTTTAGGAGAAAAGTTTGAAGATGTTCGAAGATGTTTGATTCGTTCTTACCGGATCCGGAAGTCGCATGTACGGGCCCCATGTACGCTAGAACTTCCGGTTTGGAAAATCAAAACACAAGTTTAACGTTTTTCCATTCTTTCTGCGTTTACCTTGTTTTAGCCCACATATATAACGCCTCGGGGTACGTATATTTAATAGACAATTTACCTTCACAAGATGTGTATACTTACAATGAACTTTATGAAAGTGTTACGAAGTTTTTCAAAAAATGAATTGAATTTCAGATATTTTGCATGGTGTTTTTTAGTTTAACAACTAACAAGTTAAAACCAATATGTTTTTCTCTATTCGTCTGAATTTTCTTGGAGCTGTTATTTGGTTAATTTAGGCCAGGGTGCATGTTCGGAATTTTGCTGCATTCCTCAATTGAGTCACATGTTATTTTTCAAACAGGAATCACTCCTTCCCCACATTGTCTACACCTTCCAGTTTTGCACAAAGAGTGCACATATGTGCCTAGAAAAGACTGGTGAGAAAATTTGTTTTGTAAAATGTATAAAAAACGAGAAAATTAAATGCGGCTTTTCTGATGGATTTATGAAACATATTTTCAATCTGCCATTTGCGTCTGGAAATAAATTTACTTTTGATTTTTTTTTTTTTTATTAAAATTTTTATTCCAAAAATATAACATATGAACATATAATATGACATATAATCAAATTTACTTTTGATAAAACAAACTTGTCGTTGAAAAAATTAGTAATTGTATTCCCAGGCAGGTATATTAAATAGATCCACTTGGAGAATAAAGTGAAACTCCTTTAGTGCACTTGTCAACAGTGTTTTATTCAGTGTCGTGAATGGCAGTTTATTCATTGACAAGTTGCCATTTTGATATTACCGCAAATTTTCCCAAAGCATAGGGGGATATGCATGAACACTTCGACTCAATTTAAATTAAGTTGTGCTGTTGGCGGAATAGGGTCGAAAGTTTAACCTAGTCGGGCCACAAGAAATGTTAGATAAGAAATTCAGTGTAATAAGGCTCAGACTAGGTTTAACTCATTGAACCAGGTGTCTTTGTTTAAAGTCGGGAAACTTTTTCAACAAAGTACTTTGATCCTGAAAAATAAGCAAATTATATGATATCCACCATGTCTACTTACCAATAAAGTAAAGTTGAGTAAAGTTTAGAAAATACGAACATCGAATAACTTTTGTATTTATAGCTAAGCCATTATCGGCTTACCATAATATTCAGATAGTCGCTGTGAAGACATTTTGTAATCTTTTTGATAGATGGCGGCAGAAGACGATGATTTTGAGGCTCAGTTACGACAAGAAGCATTGGAAAAAGACCGCATAGAACATACCAGGATTCGAACAGATTCTGATGGGACACAATACGAATGGGATGAAGAGAAACAAGCCTGGTTTCCAAAGGTACATTTCTAATCCATATATGCACATCCTAATGTACCAAAATGTATTGAGAAAACCTGATAAAGCCTTTGGTACACAGTCAGACAGCAATCTGGCCATAAAGACCGAATTGTTTTGCGCAAATCTGTTTGTTCTACTTCAGGTTAAAATTGTTCAATGGCTTTCAGTACAGTGTATATCATTTTAACTGCATCTTGAATACAATATGGACTCATTATTTTCAGATATGCAAACTTCTCAAATGGTACTTATAACCATAGTAACTCCTACCATGATTGCCATGTTTATAGTCTGGAACTTCGTAAAGTTACGAATTTGTAAATCAATTGTTGTAACCATGGATAAAATGACGTCACAGTAAGAGAACAATAGACTTCATGAATTCTTAACTTTACAAATTTTCTTTTAATGGCCCCCTGGTGTATTAAGAAAAAAATTATGCCATTGTTTCTCTTCCACTTTTAAGTCTGTAATCTTTGTTGCTCCTTTACTCACATCTTGCTCATTTTTTCTTTACAGATTGATGCAGATTTCATTGCCCAGTACCAGATGAGCTATGGCTCAAATACAAATGAGGCTTCCACTGCCGAACCTAATAAATCTGCTGCATCAACAACAGCTCCATCTATACCAAACACAAAGGAATCAAGTTCGGATAATTCTCAAATTCCTGATGGAAGTGATCCTAATTTTTACTACTGGTGGTACTATTACTATGGCCCCTATGCTGCTTCAAAACAACAACAAAATGAAACCATGGCTTCCAATGATGAACAGGGTGAAACTAATGATGGGCAGAATGAGCCTAACATGTCCTCTAATGAACCACCAGGTCAGCAGGAAAGTGAAGAGGATGACGCTGCAGCATCTAAGCAAGAGCACTGGGGTGAAATCAAAACAACTAAACTGGAATATCTGAGAGAGACTGCAATATCAAAGCAAACTAAAGAGGGAAGTATGTCCCAGAAAACAGATGATAAAACACCAGAAAGTGAAGCAAATGTTGAAACTATCGAAGAGAAAACACATGAAAGTGATGTTAAAAACACTGAGAAAAATAATGATGATAACCAAACAACAGAAATTGGTGATACAACAATTCAAAGTGATGAAAAAGTGGAGAATGGTGACCAAACAACACAAAGTGGTGACCAAGCAACACAAAATATAGGACAAACAACACAAAGTGACCAGAGTTCAGCTGATTATGATTGGTCAGCTTATTATAAAGCAAGTTATGAGGAATTCAAGAAACAAGGTGATTCTGATAAATGGGCTGCGTATTTCAAAACTTATTATGATGCCCATCAACAAGAAGATGATGCACAGGAGCATGACCATTACTTCTCCCAGTATTATGGGGAAAACTACAAGCCAGGTAAGTCAGTGTCAATGATTAATTTTTTTTCATTATTAGGCCAGGGTGAAGGGATTTATTAACAGAAACTTGTTTAAGTTATGAATTCCTAAGTAAATTGTTGTAATCAAAGATACGATGACATATGCTCAATTAACTCGACACATAATATGCAAAATAAAACATCACTAAAATATTTCAATTATTGATTATGAAGTAAGGTTATGAAGTAATGTGATATGATATCCCTAACACTCTGAAACCTTGATAGAATAAATTTGCTTTTGTAGATGTAGAAGCCCATGAGATCGAAGAGGCTGAAGCCAAGAAGAATAAGAAGCGTAAAGGCAAGAAGGGAAAGGAAAAAGAGGTGACACCAGGAGTCAAGAGAGAAAGAGAACCACCTAGTAAGTATGAAACAGCTTAAGATATTGCAACTGAATCTTTTGCAACAAAAATGTTCTGGTCTTGATGTGGAATGTCTTACACAATACTAGCTGTCTTTTCACAGCTCATTCATTGAGAGGTTTCTTTCTCATCAAGATGATAAATCCTGTTGTATCCATTTTGATCAAAATGTCTCAATATTTCACAACTTTGGCAGAGTACAAACTGAATAAATTTTCAGCAGTGAATGACAATTGGTTGCTATAACGCTGGGTAAATCACTCTTATCGGTTCCAATAACATGATATTGTGATGTACAGATATATCATGTAAAATAACTTAAAACAAATCTCCCTGCATTCCTGGTGTCATACAGTAGTTGAACATCTGAAATAAAATTGACCAATCCCTGAGACTTTCTATCAAGAATATTCACTGAGAGATTTCTTTCTCATCAAGATGACAAATCCTGTTGTACCCATAAAATATTCACATTGGTTTTGTAAGGACAAAAATAACAAAAACACAAAAATAATTGGAATGCAATAAAAATCCCCAGTAATTCAAATTAACTTTTCCAGAATGGTAGGTGGATGATGGTAAATATAAAAATTCCCAGTAATTCAAATTTACTTTTCTAGAATGGTTTGAGGTGGAGGATGACAAACAGACGCAGATGTACATCTCTGATATGCCCAATGACATCACAGATGATGAGTTAAATGACTTGATGAGTAAATGTGGAATGATCATGTTTGACCCCCACACTAAGAAACCCAAGCTGAAGCTGTATAGGGATAAAGATGGGCAGCCTAAGGGTGATGGTTTATGCTGCTTTATAAAGGTAGGTGTGAGATTCTCCTATATGTCTTAATACTGGAGTTTTTAGTGAATGATCAGAACTACTATTAAAAGTAGACCCCTGGGCTTTTTATGTCACCACAAGTAAAATGGTGACGTTTGTTACAGTCTCAATTTTTTGTGTTTGGTGGTCTGTGTTTAGCAGTTGGTATTTGGCTGTTGATGTTTGTTGGTTGGCATTTGATGGTCGGTGTTCAGTATTCAGCAACTGTAACATGTGCTAGTTTGTGACATTTTACATGGTTATGCCTTGTTAGCTCATGGTTTAAGATTGTCTACCAGTGTTGATGACTGGGGTTGACAATGCCACAATTCAGTCTATTCCCCAATAGTCAACCAGTTTTTCCAAGTCCATTGATAAATTGAAAAGTGATTGCAATTGACAGTCAATTAGCTGTGTGTTTCAAATGGGTTGTGTGTTCTTATGGTTGTCAGGGTTTTTTGAAAAAGTTGCCTTACTGATTACATTAATGAACTTGCCTTTATTATTTTAAGGTGTTTACCTAACAAAGGTTTTACTTTATGCATTTCAGAGAGAATCTGTGGATCTGGCCATACAGTTGGTAGATGGTTATAATCTGAGAGGGAAGACATTGAAATGTGAATTGGCCAAGTTTGAACTGAAAGGAGAATATGACCCCAAGAAAAAGAAAAGAGCCCTGAGTAACCATGCCAAAAGAAAGTTAAAAGAAAAACAGGAAAAGTAAGTTTTGACAAGATTGAATCGTATTGATTTTGGAATTTTTTTCTGAATCATTTGATAATGAATGAAAAAATAAAATAAAAAAGTTGAAGAAGAATGTTATTGTAGTTGTTTGTCTCATTGTCCAGTCATTCATTATGTCACCACCAAAAGTGGTGACATATTGTTATGGTCTCCGTTTTTTTGCGACGGCGGTTGGTGGTTGGCGTCCGGCGGTTGGCGTCCGGCGTCTGTAACAATTTCTTACAACTTCCTATAACTTAACAAATACTGTTTAGACTGACTTCAATTTTTTTCTAAATCATCTACATGTTCTCGGAAGTTCAAATCTGACTTTAGATTTGACATTTGACCTTCAATGACCTTCTCAAGGTCAAAAAGGTCTTTTTTCAACTCGCTTCACATTGACTAAATTTTTTTTCAAAATCATCTACATGTTCTCAGAAATTCAAATCTGACTTTAGATTTGACATTTGACCTTCAAATCTGACTTTAGATTTGACATTTGACCTTCAATGACCTTCTCAAGGTCAAAAAAGGTCAAAAAGGTCTGTTTTCAACTTGCTTCAAATTTGACTAAATTTTTTTTTTCAAAATCATCTACGTGTTCTCAGAAATTCAAATCTGACTTAAGATTTGACTTAATATTTGACATTTGACCTTCAATGACCTTCTCAAGGTCAAAAAGGTCTGTTTTCAACTTGCTTCAAATTGACTAAATTTTTTTTCAAAATCATCTACGTGTTCTCAGAAATTCAAATCTGACTTAAGATTTGACTTAAGATTTGACATTTGACCTTCAATGACCTTCTCAAGGTCAAAAAAGGTCAAAAAGGTCTGTTTTCAACTTGCTTCAAATTGACTGAAAAAAATTTTCAAAATCATCTACGTGTTCTCAGAAATTCAAATCTGACTTTAGATTTGACTTAAGATTTGACATTTCACCTTCAATGACCTTCTCAAAGTCAAAAAAGGTCAAAAAGGTATTTTTTCATCTTGCTTCAAATTGACTAAATTTTTTTTCAAAATCATCTTCATGTTCTCAGAAATTCAAATATGACTTTAGATTTGACATTTGACCTTCAATGACCTTCTCAAGGTCAAAAAAGGTAAAAAAGGTCTTTTTTCAACTTGCTTCAAATTGACTAATTTTTTTTTTTAAATCATCTACATGTTCTCAGAAATTCAAATCTGACTTTAGATTTGACATTTGACCTTCAATGACCTTCTCAAGGTCAAAAAAGGTCAAAAAGGTCTGTTTTCAACTTGCTTCAAATTGACCAAATTTTTTTTACAAAATCATCTACATCTTTTCAGAAGTTCAAATTTGACTTTACAAGTTCTCAGAAATTCAAATCTGACTTAAGTTTGAACTCATAATATTGTGAGCAACTAGGTGGTGACATTTTTTAAAATTGTCATGTAAATAGTGTCACTTTTTTATGCATAGTCAATTTAATTTAATTATTTATCATTTAAATTTTTATACAGAATGACTTACAAAGACAAATCTCTCTTGTTTCTGCCTTTAAGATTTCATTTAATCTTCATATTGTTATTAGATTGTTTGCCTGGCTTCCTGACAAGCCTACTGGAGAGAGGAAAAGGTTCGAAAGGGTTGTCATATTGAAGAATATGTTTGATCCAAAAGAATTTGAGGTGAGTTCATCCTTCAATTCATTTTAATGATTATCATCTTCACAGTGTTCATTCTAAGCTATTACACCTCTTCATTCACTTTACTGGCTGTCATGACATGTCCCTGTCAAACTTTAAGTCTCACTTTCAAGAAGCATACAAATGTCTACAAACCATCCCCCAATGAACAATGGGCTCTGAGTTATTATCCCACCGAACGCAACTGTCTGGGCGATAACTGAGTGAGCCATTATTGTGTGCTTGCCTAAAGTTGTGTCCACTTTGTGTTAAGTTCATCAGTGGTATCAAAAAGAAAAAGTGGTAAAACACACCGTGTTGTGTAGAGAACAATGAGTAAACAAGATAAAGATGTTGATTTTGATTCTTCATTTATTTTGTAATGTATCGAGTTCTTTGCCTATGTTGCCCTTATTTTGTACAATGGTTTTAAAGAATTCCCTTGTTTGTGTTCTTTACCTAATGTTGCCTTGATGTTGTATGAGGGTTTTAAAGTCTCTCTTGTTCGTATTCTTTATTAATGTTGTACGATAGTTTTAAAGAGGTCTCTCTTGTTAATATTCTTTGTCTAACATTGCCTTGATGTTGTACAATGGTTTTAAAGAGGTCTCTCTTGTCATATTCTTTGCCTTTCCTAACATTGCCTTAATGTTGTACAAGAGTTTTAAATATGTCTCTCTTGTTAATATTCTTTGTCTAACATTGCCTTGATGTTGTACAATGGTTTTAAAGAGGTCTCTCTTGTCATATTCTTTGCCTTTCCTTACATTGCCTTAATGTTGTACAAGAGTTCTAAATAGGTCTCTCTTGTTAATATTCTTTGCCTAACATTGCCTTGATGTTGTACAATGGTTTTAAAGAGGTCTCTCTTGTCATATTCTTTGCCTTTCCTTACATTGCCTTAATGTTGTACAAGAGTTCTAAATAGGTCTCTCTTGTTAATATTCTTTGCCTAACATTGCCTTAATGTTGTACAATGGTTTTAAAGAGGTCGCTCTTGTTTGTCTTCTCTACCTTATGTTTCCCTATAGCTGTACATGTATTCTCAGTTATCTTTGATTGCATATTTTCAACAGTGCTCTTTTTATTTAATCCAATTGGGAAAATAAACCACCCAGATTTAATACCTATTATACAGTTTTGAATTTAAGAGTGGATTATCAGCTTTTGTTGTTAGACGTAACTTAATTAATAACAATTAATCGTGTATTTTGGTTTGAATAAACATGTATACAGCAGCTGAATAATTATTATGGGACCGATCTCTATGGTTCCAGGAAATGGATTAGAATCCTGATGTATCTCTGAGAAAATGTTTGCTTTTTGTATTACAGTGATTAGATTTATACAATTTCCATGTAAATGTAACATTTCTTAGAGTAAAATGAAATACACAAATACTTGCAACATCTTGGATCAAGTTTATAATCTCCCTCATCCCATCAGCTAAATTATTCCTAGATGTTGTGTTTGATTAGACAGTACTAGCTAGACAGTACTGTATTCTTTAAATTGACTTTACTGCTTGGATGAAATGTCCCAAGGTGTTATAGTCCTGGTTGGTGATAATGCAACTTGAATGCCGGTGGGGAGGGGGTATTAGACATTGTTTCTTTGCATGTTAGATTATGGTTTGGGATAGTTGGGATTTGTTTTTCCTTTGGCGCTAGTGGGTACATATTTAATGAAAAATGGAATATTGTCAAATTGTCTGTACATTATTTTGCTTGGGATTTAGTACTGTAACATTGAATTTTTATACATTTTGTAATTATGTGATTTAATGAGGGAAATTGATTGTTTTTTAGCTCACATGGTGAGCTTTTGCAATCGCTCACTTGTCCGTCTGTCTGTCCGTCCGTCCGTCCGTCCGTCCGTCCGTCCGTCTGTCCATCTGTCTGTCCGTCCGTCCGTCAACAATAGTGGCACGTTTTAAAACCTCTGTCGATAGGATTCCTTTTAAGTTATTTCTGTTCAACATCAATACAGAAAACTCCCCTATGACTCCTGGTTCAAAAGCTCGCCTATTTTCAAAATGGCCACCATTTTTGTCTCGCGAAATTCACTTTTGACTGGCACGTTTTAAAACCTCTGTCGATAGGATTCCTGTTTTAAGTTATTTCTGTTCAACATCAATACAGAAAACTCCCCTATGACTCCTGGTTCAAAAGCTCGCCTATTTTCAAAATGGCCGCCATTTTTGTCTCGCGAAATTCACTTTTGACCCATTTCCTAGCTTTACAAATAATTTCAGGTGTCCTACATTGTAAAAATCTGTGTCAATGTGAAGAGTAGATATATGAAATAATTTTGTTACAAAAAATCAGCGAAAAATTATATCTATTTTTTTATTTTCAGCCATTTTAGTTAACATTGATTTGTCCATCTGACTTGTGAAATCCACTTTTCCGTCAACAACAGTGGCACGTTTTAAAACCTCTGTCGATAAGATTCCTGTTTTAAGTTATTTCTGTTCAACATCAATACAGAAAACTCCCCTATGACTCCTGGCTCAAAAGCTCGCCTATTTTCAAAATGGCCGCCATTTTTGTCTCGCGAAATTCACTTTTGACCTATTTCCTAGCTTTACAAATAATTTCAAGTGTCCTACATTGTAAAAATCCATGTCAATGTAAAGAGTAGATGTATGAAATAATTTTGTTACGAAAAATCAGCAAAAAATTATATCCATTTTTTTTATTTTCAGCCATTTTAGTTAACATCCGTCTGTCTGTCTGTCTGTCCGTCAACAATAGTGGCACGTTTTAAAACCTCTGTCGATAGGATTCCTGTTTTAAGTTATTTCTGTTCAACATCAATACAGAAAACTCCCCTATGACTCCTGGTTCAAAAGCTCGCCTATTTTCAAAATGGCCACCATTTTTGTCTCGCGAAATTCACTTTTGACTGGCACGTTTTAAAACCTCTGTCGATAGGATTCCTGTTTTAAGTTATTTCTGTTCAACATCAATACAGAAAACTCCCCTATGACTCCTGGTTCAAAAGCTCGCCTATTTTCAAAATGGCCGCCATTTTTGTCTCGCGAAATTCACTTTTGACCCATTTCCTAGCTTTACAAATAATTTCAGGTGTCCTACATTGTAAAAATCTGTGTTAATGTTAAGAGTAGATATATGAAATAATTTTGTTACAAAAAATCAGCGAAAAATTATATCTATTTTTTTATTTTCAGCCATTTTAGTTAACATTGATTTGTCCATCTGACTTGTGAAATCCATTTTCCGTCAACAACAGTGGCACGTTTTAAAACCTCTGTCGATAGGATTCCTTGTTTAAGTTATTTCTGTTCAACATCAATACAGAAAACTCCCCTATGACTCCTGGCTCAAAAGCTCGCCTATTTTCAAAATGGCCGCCATTTTTGTCTCGCGAAATTCACTTTTGACCTATTTCCTAGCTTTACAAATAATTTCAAGTGTCCTACATTGTAAAAATCCATGTCAATGTAAAGAGTAGATGTATGAAATAATTTTGTTACGAAAAATCAGCAAAAAATTATTTCCATTTTTTTTATTTTCAGCCATTTTAGTTAACATTGATTTGTCCATCTGTCTCGCAAAATCCACTTTTGGACCATTTGCCTTAAACCCTCTGTCGATAGGATTCCTGTTTTAAGTTAATTTTGTTCAACATCAATACAAAAAACTCTCCTATGACTCTTGGTTCAAAAGCTCGCCTATTTTCAAAATGGTCACCATTCTTGTCTCGCGAAATTCACTTTTGGCCCATTTTCTAGCTTTACAAATAATTTCAGCTGTCCTGCATTGTAAAAAGCCATGTCACTGTAAAGAGTAGTTGTATGAAATAATTTTGTTACAAAAAGTCGGCAAAATATTATATCAATTTTTTTATTTTCAGCCATTTTAGTTAACATTGATTCGTCCATCTGTCTCTCAGTCAGTCCAAAAAAGTGGCAAGTTTTAAACCTCTGTCAACACTTTTTAAATCCTCTGTAGATAGGATTCCCGATTTAAAATAATTTTGTTCAACATCAATAAAGAAAAAAAAACCTGTGACTCATGCTTCAAAATCTCGCCTAATTTCAAAATGGCCACCATTTTTGTCTCGGGAAATTCACTTTTGGCCCATTTCCTAGCTTTACAAATAAGTTCAGGTGTCCTGCATTGTAAAAAGCCATGTCTTTGTAAAGAGTAGTTGTATGAAATAATTTTGTCACAAAAAATCTGCAAAAAATTATACCCGTCTTTTTTATTTTCACTTTTGAGCAACACCATGTGAGCCCAGTACCCACGGTACTAATTTTTTTTAAGAAGGTGAGACAAGTGAGGGTGGGTCTGAATTATTTTTGAATGAACTTTTCAGCAAAATTAGCAACTTCAAGTTTTCTTCATAAAAGGCTCTGGCTCTGGGATGGTGGTTTATAATAAAGTGTACGTGAACATCCCTCTTAAGTGAACTTCCCAAAATGTGAAGAACACATTAACATGCCATTTTTAACTTCATTTTTTCTGGAAATTTTCATACATTTGGATGTCAGCCCTTATTTGTATAGTCTATACAATAGTATAGTAATAACATTACATTGGACACATACCAGTATTGTGATGATTTCTGATGACCAGTATGTTAACATGGCAATAGAATTGCATTAAACTTATATTTTACCTGTAAGATATGATATGTGTTATGTTTTCACATAATTTTAGCCTACTTACTTACTTGTGTAATTTGATGGAAAATATCTTAGTCAAGACATACTGTCACTTTAATTGATATACATGTACCTACATTTAATATATATACAATAACGAACCATTTCCTTCAGCAAAATAAAAAATAATTAATTTCTGAAATTTATAATTATTTTTCAATTATGTCCCACATTGAAGGAAATTGCTTATAAATGAGTTGCAAATATCAACAAAGGTATATTGCATAGAGATATATTGTCGTGGAGAAATATGCAATATCTTGACAACTATTAGGAATGATGTCATTATAATCACATGGGGTATGTCAGAAACAATACGGCCATTAAGTCAACTATTTAGCACTAAAGATGTAATATTCGCATATTATAGTAATCCGGCACTCTCTTCATAATGTTCTCCCCAGCATTGAATTGCAATTGGGTGTCTCCTTTAGTTCAGTATTTGAAAATAATATTATACACAAAAAATATTTTAAAGAGTTTTTATTAACATATCTTCCAATTAAATCAAAAGTCATTGACAAGGTCAATGTTTTATTTTTGTGCAAAATTATTTACCTAGATGCTAATATTATTGAACTTTAACAACAGATATAATTATGCATTTTTAGTGTAACACATGTACATTTATAAACTTGTATTCTCTATGCCTATTGTTCAAGTTCTTGACACCTTGACATCAAAAATCTAAGATATGATTTATTTTGACGAAATGTCCAAATTATATTTATATTTGTATGTACATATATATACAGTAAAACCTGTGTATATTGAGCATTTTTGCCAAGAAAAACATTCAGTGTTGGTAGGTGTTAAGTTCACTACGGAGAGGGTTATTCATACAGAAGTCAGTAGAGTACATGTATATGCTGAAGAAGGATGTCTTCAATGGACAGGTGTTCACTAGAGAGAGGTCTTCACTAAGACAGGTTTTACTGTATAATACATGTCAAAGTTTTACTGTGTGATCTAACTTGACACCTGGTCTCTGCGTTCACCTGTCTATGAACACATATTGTCATTGTACCTTACACACTATATACAATCTGCTAAGATATGTTTAGACAATATATTAAGAAATTCAAGTCTTGCATAAATGTCCCACTCCTCTCTAACTAAATATGTTAATAATCTTCATGTGTTTTTATTTGTTTCTGGTTTTATTTGAAGATTGAGTTAATATGAATACAATATGTTTATTGTGGTATATTTGAATAATGATATTGTAAATTCAACAATGAGATGATATGTCATTCTGTTTCAATATTAAGATCATACATTTTAATGTAGAGCCTGAACAAATGCTTCAGATTAGTGTAACACATCCAACCATTATTAACTAATTGACTATGTTTTGGGGGAGGGGGCTGTGTACCATACTGTTTAAAAATATCAATTTCTTGTTGAAGGTCACATACACCCCTTGACACACACCAATAGACACACCCCTTGACACACACAAATAGACACATCCCTTGGCACACACCCCTTGACACATATCAATAAACTCACCCCTTGACACACACCAATTCACTTCAATAAATATGTTAACTATATGTAATGAAAAATAAACAAAATAAAATGTGAAAAATATAGCAATGTTAGAAAATAATTGTGTTTATAACTATTATATTTTCAGACTGATCCTGGTGAAATCAATGAATTGACCAAAGATCTGAGGGAGGAGTGTTCCAAATATGGCGATGTAAGAAAAGTCACGATCTACGACGTGAGTAATTTATGTCTGCTTCTAATTACAAAAATATAGGCAAATACATATAAAAGGGAAAAAATCAATTTTCAAAATATTTTCAATATCTAGTGCCTTTCTTAATACTTTTAACATTTTTCAAAATAATAATTTAGAAACTGTAAGAATTGTATTTTTCCAAATCTACAGTATTTTCTCGGTGTATGATTGTTTGAATTGTCTATATCATTCTGCGAGATTATATTCCCTAACAAAATGTCAAAAATTCTGCTCACTTAGAGTTATTGAGAGACAAGTGCACAAATTCAGCTATGTTGTTTTTACAATGTGGAAAAAGCAAAGAAAAATGTGAATTATTATTTACTCTTGGCAAAGGGTGTCTGAACATATATTGAACAAACTTAACATGTGTAGGATAGGAAGAAGTCCCATCATGCTTTGGGCAATCACATGATCAAATCTAACCAATTGCAGCTACACAGAAGTGAAGAGACTCATGGGATTGTTATACCTCTTATGTAACATGCACATACCTGGATGATAAATATTGATGCTTATTCGCCATTTTTATCATCCGTTTGACGTTTTTCTGATTAGGCACAACAAGTTTTTAGGCCAGTTCACCTGTTTGAAAAGCACCATAGCAATACAGCTTGGGTTCTCTTACAAACATAGACGATTCTTTCAATTTTGCCGAAATTGGCAAGCACCAAACATTAATTGCCTATTGTAGTTAAGATTTAACAAATAAAATCTTAGGTTTTAACTATTTTTTACAAAAATTATTTTTGATGTAATGTGAGTTTGTTTTTTGTTGAGTGGAGAAGTGAATGACAGGTGTGTTAGGCAACTTACTAGCTACAGTACCTGCCGTAAATCACTCAACATAAACTATATTTGTCATCTGCTTTTACTGGCGTTTGTTCCAGGTAGCTTTGAAGATGAAACATCGCTGCAGTTGGCTTGGTTTTCTTTTTCCTGTTTTAAAGCCTGTTTTTTAACTCTACCCTTTTTACAATATGTAGTTGAATATACGTTTGACAAAAAAGATTAAAGATTATGTAAATGATTTTTTAATCAAAATTGTTTTTGTTTTGGCCATGACGTCCAGGATCAAAATAAGTACAAACATACTAAGACCGACTCAACTGTATCATACTGACGATTTGGTTGAACAAATGTGAAAACCTTTGATTCAATATCTTACATAATTCAGTGTTCAATTTTCTGAAAAGAAAATCTAATTTAGAAAGTTATTTCCTTGAATTCAAGTTTCGAGAACTTAAGTTTTCTCGTAAAAATTTGGCTATAACTCCTTATTGACACAATGTTAAAAGATCTTCATAATTTTATTGCATGTTAATGGAGTTTTATATCATTATAGTTTAAAGAGATCAAGAATTATATGAATTTTATTTATCCTGCAATGCTATTTAGGCTGACCAAAACTCTACTGCCATCTGCTGGTATCTACCTAACTATATAGAAACTGACTGATCTATTGGACACAAAGGGCCATGCCTATGACTTTTGGCACAAAGTGTAGCCTTTAACATTTGAATTCCATTCTTAATTCACCTGTCGTTGCAGCTGAATGATCTATTGGGCTTTTTGGCTTTTACATGTTTCTCTTCCATTTTCTCTTCATCATAAGTAATAGTTTTAGTTATAAAATTATAATTAGAACTGCTTGTCTCATCTCCTCTTAGCTTTAAGTCATTAATAATACTCCTATACTCCTTACAGTTCACTGTATGTAGCTGAATTATTTTGTTATTTTTGCAAATTAATTTCTGATTGCATCAAAATAAGTTTACCACATAGTTGCAACTAGCTGTTGATTTTTAATCTTCTCAAAATAACCCCCTAAGATTTGCAGACTTTGGGGGTAATGATATAACTTTGAAGTGAGGTTTTGATAATTGTTATAACATAAACAATTACTTACTTTGAACTCCTTCATATGTAATGATTATAAATTTTACTATTTGGACATTTGTTTTCAATTCTCTGTTTGTATACTTAAAGTGGTAGCAAAGAATAGAAACTAATGTTTAAAAGGCAATCTTTTCAAAAACCATGCTATTGTTGTTGTTTTCTTTACAATCTTATTTTATATCGGAAAAAAGAATTATGATATTTGATCAAATATGGAGGTAATTGAGAAAGGAAAATCCATTTGAAATGAAAAAGAGGACATCAAATTTTTCAAAACTATTGCCAAATTACCTCAAAACTCAAAACATGATCATGAAGTAAAGTTAGAACGCTTGAACTTTTTGGTCATATATTGATATTGGGCATGACGGAATATTGTGACCAAATATTATTATTAAAATGTCAATTATGACTATAATCAAAATTTGTAAAATCCATATTTTTAAATATTTTTCTTTATTATCATCAGATTTTTTTATATTTGAATTTGATGTTTATACATGTATACAGATCCTGAACATACACAATATTTTTGTAAAGTTAAAATATAATTTAAGATACACAGCAATCCCTTTGAATTCATGTAGTGACCAATACCAAAATTGCTCGGCTTTCTATGGCAACTCTGAATGTAATTTTTGGGATCAAAGGATATCTAGTTTGGTAAAATAGGCAAGATATTTTTTAACCAAAAAGTTTCTGTTATTTCAGTCGCAAAAGGGAATGAGTAGCTTCAAAGTAAGGAGACTCCTGAGGGAGAAAGTAGGAGACAACAAATCCATGTAGATTCTTTAATTCTGTTTAGATGATATATATTATAAAACCAGCAAATACTACCTATATAGTACTTAGTAATGTATTTACTAATAATATACATTGTGTATTATGAAAGGTGATTCATGCTGATGGCTGAAATTGTTATGACATATGTGCCTACATTTTGGAGGCAATTTCATGAAGAGCAGTATGTGGTATAATATACATATACACATGTACAGTATGTATGTGTACTTAAATCTTGGTTACCCCATGTAAAATTAATATGAATCATGTAATTAAAAGGCTATAAAATAACAAGAATGGAGAATATAATATGCATTCTATTGTTCATGTAGCGCATTGATTTTGAAGACTATAAATCCCCAATTTGTGAAAATTGTTAATTTTCGAAACGGAGATATTTTAGATGAATCTAATGGAAAATTCATGTCTAATAAGGGATGCTAATATAAACATTGCTTTAATGAGTGAATTCCAGGATTAACTTTGCTAATATATCTTTACCTAATCCAAATATTCTATTCTGGCCAGAACAATTTCATTACTCTCTTTCAAAATCTTGACAATGTCTTCAAATTTTCCGATACTTCTAGAAAAATTTGAGAGTAAACCATTCAGGCTTGGAGTGTACCATGTAATTTCTTTCTTGAAAGTGTTTTTGTATATCTTGGTAATTAAACCAAGTTAGATTTTTCCAGGGAATGCTATATGCTTCTCCAGGGTCCAAGTAAACAGGTAGCATTACCCCCTACATTTCTTGATGTAGGCACGCGCCTTCCATGTTCCACTGTTGTTGGACATTCATTTGACACCCTTTGATCCTCAAACAGTTGTTACCCACCCATGAAAATAGTCTCCAGTTGCGGTGGGCATGGTCAGGTTCACAAATGCGAAAAAGTGAGAAATAGACATGAATTAGCGCAGAATGAAGTTCATAGACGTGCATTTGTGATTATACAAAGATGTCATAAAAATCAGATACTTTCTCCAAAATTTAAAGTAAAAATGCTCAATAAAAGCATCAACATTTTTAGTTTTAAACAAATAATACCACCATCGATGATGATTTTCAGGTAGATTACATAGAACATAAATGAACATGTATTTTGTGAAATCTATATTAACATCATTCGTATGGTTGCCTCGTATGGGCTATGTGTTTTATAGACTTAGTTACTCAGTGAATCTCATATATGTGTTTTGCATTGTTGCAAGCTCATATCAATACATTGTAGGCATTTTCCTACATTGCTATACATTGTAAGCATTTTCTACATTGATTCATATTTACCTTCGAATTTCTAAAAGTTCAGAATATTTGGTATTTCCAGGTCGTAAAATATCATGTAGAATTTGCAGGTTTAATCTTGGGGAATCTTGGGGAATTTGAATGTGTAAAATATGCAAATAGAAAGTATGAAATCAGAATTTTAAGCAGCATTATGAATTTTTATGTAAGATTTATAATACATTATCATTTTCAGTGACATGCAGGATTCATAAGTTATTTGAACATGTTTGTGGTTTATAGGGGTTACATTCGACTGTCTATAGTGCTTTCTTATGAACAGCCTTTTGTGGAAGACTTTACAAAGGAAAATAGGAATGTTGACATTGTTTCATCAGTGATGTCATGGGGAGAATCTTGGGATTAAATTCTTCAGACATTCTTCTTGGACTCCAATTCCTTTCAGCTCAACGACATAATGAAATGATAATCCAGGAAATATTGAATTCCCTTGATATATTTCAAATTGTGTCATTCCTATGTCGTTATGTTTTTGATTTAGAGTTTGATTTTTATTGTGATATCTCACTTCCTAGTGTTTTCATCATGTGATTATATATAACATTTACTCGTATTTAACAGTGGATATTGAAATGTGATATGATATTGATATTTTGCCTCAGGGACGATTCACACGCATTATGAGATTCTGGAGTAATGTTGAGATTCTTAAGAATTTTACATGGATGTAGGAGATGTCAGGAATCTCGAATGCTTTATATTGTCCCATACTGTACATGGCTGCCATGCTTCAATGGCATAGCTGAGATACCATATTGTGGTTAAATACCCGTGTCTAGGTCTTACACCCTGTTTTTCATTTGAGAGCCAATGAGTCTGGATAGGTCGGGAGCAATGGTCATCATCTATGTTTTATTTCAACTGATAGTCTTTTTAATGAAATTCATCATCTGAGAAATTTTCGAATTTTTTCAAGAAATCTGTATTTCAATATTTTTTATTTTTGCAATCGTCATGATCTATGCTTCATTTGAAATAGAATTTATCATTTGAGGATTTTTAATTTGAAGCAATGTTCATCCATTTTTATTTCAGGTGTAAGGAATTCCGACTTCTGGTAAAACAAACACAATTTGAATACAAATACATGAAATTTTGTTTTATTACAGAAACATGCATATTGGCTGGAGAAAGAGTCACAGATACAACATTGACGCAAATATGGGATTTTTGTTCGCACGTCTTTAGTTTATTGAGCATTATTGGTAACAGTATCAAATTGTTACACTTTTGTAACCATTTGCAAAAACTTGCCAGGTGGTGATTTTTAATATTTTCATTGTATCCAAATCTCAACAAAACGTTCTATACTTCCAGAGGCATAAAGATGGCATCGCTAGTATTATGTTCCGGGAAGCGGAAGAAGCTGATGTTGCTAAGGAGGCTTTAAATGGTCGTTGGTTTGCGGGAAAACAAATCTCTGCGGAAACATGGGATGGCCGTACAAAGTATGAAGTTCAGGAAACAGAGGAGGAACGTAATGAAAGACTGAAAAAATGGCAGGAATATTTAGAATCGGGAGGTGATGATAAAAAAGAAAAACCCAAACAACCTAAAAGTGAAATTAATTCAGAGTCCACAAATATTGAAAATGACTCAAGTGCTGCAGATTCTACACAAGAGAAACCTTCAGGGAAAGTGAATAATGCCAAAGTGGATATTGAAAACACAGCAGACGATTCCATCGAAAAACAGCAGGAAGGTCCACAGGAAGCAATGGAAACTAGCTAACACCAGGTGGCGCTACTGGATGGCATCTCAGCTGCATACAGTGGGGTAAGCTTATTCATCATTGATTTTAAGTTTTCCATTGCCAGCTATGACTTCAATGCAACATACTTTTTGTGAGAATATTTCAGGATGACAGTCTTTCTGCGACGGCAGTCCATTTTTCAGACTGATGATTTAATTTATTCAGAAATGCAATTTCAGGATTTGTGTCTCAATTAATTCTGAACAGTATCTGTTTAATAACACCATCACCTGTTAGACATGCATCATAGAAATCATACATTAATGATGTCTAATAATCTATATTATTATTCAACAGGTTCAAATAATTAATTATAACTGACTAAAATTGAGCATTTTCCTCAGTGAGAAAGTAAAGATACGCCCTTGAGACTCATGCCATACTTCCAACAGGGGGGGGGGGGGGGGTTAAGACTTCCCAAAACTTCAAGAACTTAACAATATTTTAATATCATTTTTATTTTAAATTTTACTTTAAAAATTTGCAACATATTTTCCAGGCATAAAATTATGTTGTGAGGGGGTTAAAAGAGATATTTTCAATTATTATACAGAATTGTAAAATTCTTGTTCGACATTTCTCTATTTACAGTGTACTTGGGAAAGCTGTAAGATTTGTGCCAAGATTTTTGAATTAGCCTGAGGTAAAGATGTCATTTAAAAATTTTTAACTTGTTTGATTATTTTACTTTGAATTTGTAACCAAACTAAGAAAACACTAAGGGCAATTGAGATATTTTCAGTATTTTTTGTAAAACTTTTTCAACATTTTACAATATAGAAATATAAATAGATAACTTGAAAAAGCTGCACTTTTGACCAGATTTCAGTAAACTTGAGTTGCATATATTTAAATTGTTTGAATTTACTTGGAAGGTTTGCAAGATTTGCACCAAGAATTAGATTGGATTGATGGAACAGCTTCACTGTAGCTAATCTAGATACATTTCTAAATTAGATAGAAACCACTGATATGGAAATTGATAAGAATATTTCTAATAAATTCTCTGTCTGCTCCAGTTAATCCTGACTTTTCTGCCAAAAATAGTGTTTTATTATATGATTTCTTTGATAAGAATCATTTGTAGATATCATTAAGTGAGTGCAGAACAAGCTATTGTCTTTTTTATTCCAATTGTTCTTTCATTTCTGGGTGCAAACATTTTATTTTACTTTTTTATAAAAGAGTTGTCAATTTCATGAATCCAGTTGTAACTCATTTTTGGGGCAAATGGTTTTGTTTTTTAAATTGGGTGCCTCACCCCTTAAAAACCAAGAAGATCACAGTAATATAATCTACATTAATCATTTTTTACATTTTAAAGTATTCAAATTTTAATCCCTCCAGTGGATCCTTCTATTTAGTTTGTTGATGCCTTGATCTGGTCTTTTAACAACTTTCAACTTGCTCAGGGTTGAAGAACTAGAACTTTTATGTGATGATATATTCCCCATAGATTTATTACCAATATTTTCTGCAAGTGTTCAACATGTAAAATCTTACCTGGAAATTGAATATGTGATTTATATGACCCTCAACATTATAACCCACCCCGTGTTTAAATTCCATACTTATCTAACATAATTTCTGTCAAAAATTTGAATAAAGTGTCTAATTTTCTGTCATTTTTATATAATTCTACATACATCCATTATACCTATATACTCCATTCCTTGCTAATTCCACCCTTTTCCACTCTCTTATGCATTTTAAAATGTGACCATCGTGTCACTTTTCCTTTGGGACGTCTATCCCTAGAAAGATGGGCTGGCTGTGTGTATGAAATATCTAGTTATAGGGTGCCACATGGGGCAAAGTATTCCACAGACAGGCATGCCTCTTACTGACTGCAGCTGTCTGAAGTGTGACTGAATTCCAAGCTCAAATACCAGAAACTAATCCAAGGCACAAGGTCCTCAAGTTTTTTTAGAGAAGGCATTATTAATCATATCAAGTTCTCACTTTTTATGAATCTACTAATTTGATGTCATTTTGAATTATAGGTGTATGAACATACAGGGTAGAATTAAAGCCAGATTTCTTGTTTTTATCATTTCCTTGATAAATACAGTACAGTACTATATAATATAATATAACATAATATAATATAATATAATATAATATAGTTTAATACTAATATATAATTGTTAAGAAATATAAGGCAATGCAACATACGGTAAATACAATGATAAACAAGAGAATACAATGTAATGTATACAATACAATTCAATATATAATATGATACAAGGTAATATAGCATTACATAATACAATACAATAATAGATGACAGGCTACAATATGATTCAATACAATTCTACAACACATGTATGATAAAAAGATAATGCAACATAATACAATATTGTAACGGAATTTTGAAATGTAAAATTTTTGATTTTTGATAAAGTGCTGTATTTTTGTACATTAGGTAATTATTACACTTGGAAAGTAATTTCCCATTGAGATTATTAAGATTTATAAATGTAGTATCATTTGCAGCACTTAGGTTGTACTTACAGAGGTGAAATAGTTCACATGTTTTATTTATTTGATCACGATTTTGTTTACGTTGATCGGGCAGTCTTATCTGGCAGTCTAATTTGTAGTTGATCGGTAGTCTAACATGACAACTTTATTATTTTACTTCCTGCTTTTGATTCGATGGAATCGAAGTAAAATTAGACTAGATGGTGGTTAATTACTGTTATATTTCTTGAGTCAATATTATAATCTTGCTGTATGGTCAATATTGAAGCGAAATATGGCGTAAATGAGCTGTAATTCACAGTTGAAATCTTGTACGAAAATCAATGACGTCATCGGGCCTATATAACTATCTCGCTGTTGAAGGCTCGTCAGTGCGATGCCAGATGTTGTCGAGGAAGGACCTCCAGAGCGGAATTTCGGGAAACAGCTTAAATCTTCTAAGTTTTATAGAACTTAGTCGATTTTGTGGAGTTGAAGCTATACGTTTGCAGTATACACATAAAGATAGAAGCTGTACCTTAGTAGAATACATCTGATGAGCCAAGCTATACGTTTGCAGTATACAAGGGCAGATTGAGGAAACTAAGTGTGCGAAACTTAGTTTATTTTGGAACTTGGATTTTTGGGAAACTTTGATGCAACTAAGTGTGTGAAACTTAGTTTATTTATCGCACTGGAAGTAAGGGAGATCTACAAGACTGGACAAAACTTCGACAGGGTGAAGCTATCCCCAGCGCAAAGCATTAGACGTATTGTCCAGCCTTCATAGACTGAGAGGAAATGCTGACATAACTTGTGTTTGAGAAACAAGCTATTTTGATCATCAAGGAACTTAGACGATTTACAACATTATTGGACTTAGTCAATATTTGGTGAAATATTATTTTGGACTTTGTTGTTTTTGGAAAGAGAAATATTGAACTTAGAATATTTTAATATCAGTATCACTTAACATTAAATGAACTTAGTTATTTTAGAGGTCAAATATTTTCACATGTTATATTTTTGCATATGTCGTTGTGTGCATGCTATATTTGTAGGTAGCCTTATTATTTAATTGTGAAGAAAGCAGGCTACATGGACTTAGCAGTTGATGCCGTGTATTAGACGTCCTTGGACTTGGTAGATTGAAGATTGTGATAGTTTGACTTATACATCTACAGAGAAGAGGTTCTGGGACTTAGCAGTTTATTCAACGAGATATTTTGACTTTGATGATTTTGGGTCATTGAAGTTAGAATATACATCTACAGAGAGGACGTTCCAGGACTTAGCAGATTATCCAGCGAGATATTTTGACTTTGATGATCTTGTGTCATTGAAGTTAGAATATACATCTACATTGAGGAGGATCCTGGTGATAGCCGTTCACAGAGCTGATAGTTTGACTTGGATTATTTCACATAATCAAAGTTGAACTATACTACAACACAGAGAGAAGGATCCGGGAGATAGTCATTTCCAGACTTGATAGTTTGACTTGGATTATTTCACATTATCAAAGCTGAACTATACTACAACACAGGTTGACTTAGGATCCAGGAGATAGACATTTACCGAGCTGATAGTTTGACTTGGATTATTTCACATAATCAAAGTTGAATTATACTACAACACATTGAGGAGGATCCAGGACTTAGGAGTTTACACAACTGATAGTTTGACTTAGATTATTTCACATAATCAAAGTTGAATTATAATACAACACAGTGAAGAGGATCCAGGAGATAGCCGTTTACAGAGCCGATAGTTTAACTTGGATTATTTTACATAATCAAAGTTGAATTATACTACAACCCAGAGAGGAGGATCCAGGAGATAGCCATTTACCGAGCCGATAGTTGACTTGATGATTTCACATTATCAAAGCTGAATTATACTACAATACAGTGAAGAGGATCCAGGAGATTTACGTTTACGGAGCAATAGTTTGACTTAGATGATTTCACATCATCAAATTTGAATCATACTACACTACATAGAGGAGGATCCAGGAGATTACTATTTCAGGTTCAAGTTACAAGTACAATACAAGACGTACAAGTATTACAACATATATGAACTTTTAATATTGGAGATACAACAGTGGTATATAGTGATCATCTACTTTAGTTTATATGGACTCTGGATGTTGTATTCTTAATGATTATTATTAGCTTATACGGACTCTAGATATTGCTTTATTAGTGATAAATATTAGCTTATATGGACTTTTGAGTTGTGAGTTTTGAGAGAGATAATAATATCGTAGCATTTTAATCTTCATACTTGACATTTAATGTACATCTTTATTTGGGCTTATAAACGCCACAATATACTGTTTTATATTTATATTTAATTGTATATGTCTGTTTAATTCTTTAGGGACAATCGCACATTTAACGTGTGCCGTGTAACTCACCAAGTAAACACCGTTTACTAAACAGTGGGCCTATTATTAGCCACGCTACCACGTATATCCACAAAAATAGGCCAAACTGTTACAATATTATATAAATCGACAATAGTCCAGAATACAATACCACACAATATAGTAATA